CCCCCCTCCCAGTTATGGTATAAAGATGTATGATTCATTTAAAAAAGCTGCCTCTGAATGTTATCCAGCCACCAAGAAGGTTCAAACAGATTCACCTCCTGTGTAACATCACCACCAAACTAAAACAGCCTTTCATCAGATTTCTTTGTCTTTTTTCAGTTTAACATGTCATAGAAAGGAGGAGTTTGTTGTCTTTCAGCATTAATAACATTAACATTAGGCTAAATCTTAGTTTCTGCCAGGTTAATTGTGTGTCAGTTAGATCAAAGGTCAAAGTGGTTATTTGTCTTATGCACAGTTAGGAAACGAGGGTGGACATTTCAATAAGACAATGATCCCAAACACACAGCCAAGGAAACTCTCAGCTGGTTTCAGAGAAAGAAAATCAAGCTTCTAGAACGGCCCAGCCAGTCACCTGACTGGAATCCAATAGGAAATCTATGGAAAAAACTAAAGATCACAGTTCATAGAAGAGGAACATGGAACCTTCAAGAGTTGACTGTGTGGAAGAATGGGCCCAAATCACACCTGAGCAATGCAGACTACTAGTTTCTCCATACATTGTCTTGAAGATGTCATCACCAACTGAGGCTTTTGTACAAAGTATTAAATAAATTTCAGTACACGTGTTCAATACTGTCACTCCATTTTATTACACATAACTTAATGTCTGATCTTATTTGTTTTGCTTTCTTTGTATGTATGGATTATTACTATGGTTGTCACCGACATCTGGTGAAAATGTCATGTCATCAGCAGCTTTAGAAATATATTTATTGAGAAAAATGGTAACGTTCAATACTTACTGTACCCGCTGTAGGAGCATGGAGGGGCGGCTTCCTGGTCAGTGACGTAACAGGGATGAGCCAATGAGGGCTCGGTGATTGGAGTCATCCCCACCCACCCAGAGTCTTTCCCATTCCAGTAAGCGGGACGTTCGTATGGTTGAGGAACATGCTGGAACGACTGAACTCCTACACGTTCATGGCTGTGTTCGTGTTAGTCCTGGTATTTCTGTGTCAAACTGCTTCTGGTCGAGGTGAGCTTTCGTTATCTGTGTAGGTGTGAAAGATTTTTGATTGATGTTATAAAATCACGTTATCTTGTCCTAGAAAATGTTCATGTATTAAAAACCGCTAATTTAATCCTTAACGTGTAATTAGTTTTTTAACGACACTGAATCTTAGAAGGTGTAGAATAATGTAGGTTCTGTTCAAGTTTAACCTGCTCCTTACATGATGTATAAAACATTTTAATGTTGTAGTGTCGGCCCGGCGAGTGAGGTTAGAATAGCTGTTAGCACGGTCAGGAAAGAGCTGGAGCTATGTTGTC